ATCAGTCGGCCATTTATTCAATCGGTATTCGAACTATTTATTCAATCGGTCTGACCAAGTAAATAGTATTACCTAGTCGCCAAGGAATTAAGTAGGATAACAAGCGGCGGGTACCGGTTGTTTCCCTTTATTGCCAATGTTGGCTTTTAACTCGTAATTTGTTTAACCTAGCAAGAGTAGTGGTTGAGAGTCCCTGTTTGTTAAAAACAGGCGGACGACTCATACCTTTTAGGCTCCATACTAAGTTTGAGTGACTATTAAGTTAACATAGGAGTTACTTAGTCTTCGTCACACTCTAGATTGAATAGTAGAGGTACCAGGCGGCGGAGGCCGGATGATCCTCTTGATTTGCCAATGTCTGTTGGATATTAACTCAATAGGTTGCCTAGTAGGAATAGGGGTTTGAGTGCCCTTGTTTGTTTAAAACAGGCGGACGACTCAAACCTTTTAGGTTCCATACCAAATTTGAAGGAGTGACTATGAGTTAACGTTGGAGTTACTCAGTCGCCGTCACTTTTGTTTGAGAAGTAGAGGTACCAGGCGGCGTAGGCCGGCTAGACCCCTTGATTCGCCAATGTTTGTTGGCTATTAACTCAATAGGTACCCCCTGCATTTATCCCAAGTAATACAGGCGGTCATCTGACTCAGATGTCAACTGCTACCACTGGTTTGGTTAGTGATAGAGTTATCCTTGTCTCAAAAACGGCTACGTGGTTGCCCTTGGGGACAATCGTATAGGTGTCGTGTAATTAGTTTATAGAACAATGTTCCACCCAAAAGGGAGCTGCTCTCTACGACGAATTTCATCCGGAGGGATGCCGTCGGACGCCTGCTATGATGTTGGGACAGGTCGTATTAGTTTTGTAGATTTGATCAGGTGGCTTGGCGCCTGGTCTGATCATTCGGCCGGTGGCCTTGGTAAGTTCTTGGTGAACGTAGGTGCTAAGTAAAAGAAGGGTAGCCGCCTGTTAGGCACAGGGTCGGCCAGGCCCTAATTTTTTTAGCTAAGTATTGTGAGTAAAATACTCAATGGAGAGTAGCCGACTGTAAAGGAACAGACGGCATGCCCCTCTGAAGATAGAGTGAAAAACTCAATGGAGAGTAGCCGACTGTAAAGGTACAGACGGCATGCCCCTCGTAATACAAAAATTGAATAGTAAGTGCAAACTTTATTAAGTAGCTCTTTACTTTACATCATTCAGAAGAAATATTTTTTAAGGTTATCTACATTCCAAGTTCGAGGCAACGGTTGTCCGTCTGGTTTTTCCAGACGGTAGGTACCGTCCCTGACTTCCTCATAGATTCGGTAGGGTCCTTCCCAGTTGGGAGTTAGTTTGCCAGACTCATTAGCCCTACCAACTGCTTCCATTTTTCTAAGTACAAAGTCCCCTACTTTGAGTGGACGCCTGTGTACTTTTTTGTTGTATGATCTAGTCATTCTCAGGCGATAGATCTCATGGCGCAAAACAGCATTGCCCCTCTTTTCAGGAAGTGAGTCTAATGCCAGGCGCATGGCTTCCCAGTTTGCCTCTTCGTCATATAGCATTACTCGAAGAGTCGGCTCGTAGTGTTCTATTGGAAGAACAGCTTCCGCACCATAAGTTAGGAGGAATGGAGTTTCTCCAGTAGCCCCTTTTTCAGTCGTCCTAATGGCCCAGAGAACATGTGGTAGTTCATCCGCCCATAGGCCGCCTGCTCGTTCAATCTTTTTCTTGAGACCGTCTGAGATGATTTTATTAAAGGCTTCTACCTGGCCGTTTGCTTGTGGACGGCCGACAGATGCAAAGTAGTGTGCAATTCCTTGGTCTCCCAACCAGCTTTTGAGAACAGGCGTCTCAAATTGGGGACCATTATCAAAAACCATAGACATGGGAACCCCGAACCGAGTGATGACGTTTTTCCAAATGAATGAAATTACATCTTTCGTCTTGATTCCCTTTACAGCCTCCGCCTCTACCCATTTAGTGAAGTAGTCAACGGCAACAAGTATATACCTTCTGCCGCCTGTAGCAGGCGTATATGGACCCAGAATGTCCATGCCCCACTTAGCAAACGGTAGTGGGCTGTGAATGGTAGTGAGGTCAGTAGCCGGACGGTGAATTAATTTGCCAAACCTTTGGCACTTGTCACATTTTTTCACCATCTCCATTGCATCTGCTTCCAAAGTAGGCCAAAAGTAGCCCTGCCGCCTTGCCCTTTGAGCAAGCATCCTACCACCTATATGAGAAGCACAGTAACCAGAGTGAAGATCATCTAGTATCTCTCGTCCCTTTTCAGGAGTAACACACTTTAAGAAGGGTTGAAGGTACCCCCTCTTGTGAAGTTCTCCCTGTATCATTTCAAAACAGGAGGCTCGTTTTTTCAGTGCTGCCGCCTGTTGAGGATCATCCGGCAGTGTACCGTTTGTCAGATATGCCCTGATTGAATCCATCCAGGTTGAGCTTCTGTCTAGGATTCCAATAGGGTTTTCCTCGATGCTTCTCTTCTCCATTACTTCCAAAAAAACAGTTCGAGGAGTATCGGAGGAGGCGGATGATGCTAATTTTGACAGTGCATCTGCCTGGTTGTTTTCTGATCTCGGCACTTGGATCAGATGGAAATCCTCAAGGGAGCCGACTGCTTGTCGGACCGCCTGTAAATACTTGATCATGGCCGGATGGGTTGCTTCGTATTCGCCATTGTACTGACTCACTATCAATTGTGAATCAGAACAGGCGTCTATTTTTCTTGCCCCTGCCGCCTTGCACATGCGGATCCCGGCTAGTAAAGCTTCATATTCTGCCTCATTGTTTGAAGCCTGAAAACTGAAGCGTAGAGCATACTCGAACCTGTCGCCCTCTGGAGATTGACATACGACGCCTGCTCCACAACCATTTGAAGTAGAGCTTCCGTCCACATATACCTTCCAGACTTGGTCTGGAACTTGAAAGTCAGGAGGACGAGTCATCTCTACAATAAAGTCAGCAAAGGCTTGCCCCTTCACTGCTTTTCTAGGCTCGAAAGTAACTTCGAGGCTTTGTATTTCTATGGCCCATTTGATCATTCGTCCTGACGACTCCATGATGGTAAGGGGCCGCTTGATTGGTTGGTCGGTATACACGACGACTGCATGTGCCAAAAAGTAGGGCTTCAATTTTTTGACAGCCATGAAGAGTGCAAGACCAAATTTCTCCACTAGGGGATACCTCAACTCGGCATTTTTCAGTACGTGACTGACAAAGTAGACCGGGAGCTGACAGCCGTCCCTTTCAGCAAGGAGCACAGCGCTTAACGCATGATTAGAGACGGCCAGGTACATGTAGAGATCCTCTTTGGGCAAAGGGCTGACCAGCCTCGGCAAGGAATGCAAGTGAACTTTTAATTTCTGGAAGGCGGCCTCAGCATCCGGCCCCCATTCAAACCTTGCCTTTTTCTTAATTGCCTGGAAAAAGTATAGGCATTTGTCGCCTGATCGGCTTAGGAATCTCCCCAAGGCCGCCAGACAACCTGTTAACTTCTGAACCTCTCGGATGGTACGAGGCGACTGCATGTCAATGACCGCCTGCACCTTCTCAGGGTTCGCCTCTATTCCTCTCTGATTGATAAGGAATCCGAGAAATTTCCCAGACTCAACTCCAAATACACATTTCTTGGGATTGAGCATGACATGGTGCCGCCTGAGTGTGGCGAAAGTTTCTCGGAGGTCCGTCGGATGATCTTTCTGAAGTTTAGTCTTGACAATCATATCATCAATATATGCCTCGACGTTTCTCCCAATCTGATCAAAAAACACAGTGTTTATCATTCGTTGGAAGGTAGCCGGGGCATTCTTAAGACCAAACGGCATGACCGTATAACAGTATAACCCCTGATCAGTGACGAAGGCCGTATTCTCCTGATCTTTCTTCCATAAGGGAATTTGATGGAAACCAGAATAGGCGTCCATAAAACTCATCAAGGCATGGCCGGCTGTTGAGTCGACCAGATTATCAATTTTAGGCAGAGGGTAACTGTCTTTGGGGCACGTGATGTGGATTTGAACCCCTTAACTTAATAAAGAATCTAAAATCACACAAGTAACACAAGCCCTTCGAATTTCCTAAGAAAATCGAACAACTTAAGAATAACGAACCGGATATGACTTTGAAAACGACCACTCCTGGAACGAATTCAACGCCTCTCAAATTACCTAGACCACTCCTGGAACTAAGTACTTTGATGAACAAAACTTAGACTACTCCTAGAACTAAGAATTGAACGTTCTAATTATCAAAACAACTCCTTGAATTGAAAACTAGCAAAAGAATTTGTAAGCAATTAAGCAAAACAAACAATAAACTTGTATTGAATTTTCTGGTTTTGGTTGTGTATCCAAAGCCACGAAAAATCCCTTATTTATAGACTAAACTAACTATTCCTAAGTCTATTCGAACTAGGAAAAAAAACCCTAGCCTTGATCCCCAAGTATCCTAGATAGAATAGGAAAACCAATTCTAATGGAACTAGGAAACTAGTAATAAGACTAGTTCTAATTAAACTAAAACTTCTTAAAACAATTCCTAATTGACTTAGAAATTATTTTAAACTAAAATAACAGAAATTAAGAAGATTCCTAATTGCTTAAACCAAGAAAAACCCTTTCAAGTGAAAGGTAAAAACTTGCAAGCAAAAACTCTAGAAAAAACTAAGTTAGGAAAATCTTTCTTTTCGTACTGCCGCCGAACCACCGTCTCACGCGCTGCCATCATCGACACGCGCCCCACCAACGTGTAGCTGGACTCAGGCCGGAGCTAGGGAGCCGGCGCGTGGCACCTAGATCGGCGCGTCGCCGCCGCTGCTGTCGTTGGAACCTAACTGGTCCTTGACTTTTTCTTCAATGGCTGCGCATGTTAACCATTCTTGATTCTTTACTCCAAGCTCGAACCCTATTGGCCTTAAAACCAATATGATTGGCTCTTCAAAAGAATTTCCCTCTTGATCCACATCATTCTCCCCCTCTTCAAAAGAATTTGTCCTCAAATTCACATCATCTAGGTAAGGAGTCAAATCACCAACATTAAAAGTAGCACTTACATTACCATATTCGCTTGGTAAATCAAGTTTGTAAGCACTATCACCATAAACTTCCAAAACCTCAAAAGGGCCGTCAGCTCTAGGCATGAGCTTGTTCTTCCTTTTGTTTGGAAATCTTTCCTTCCTTAAGTGTAACCAAACAAGATCTCCCGGCTTGAATGTAGGTTGCTTGCGCTTTTTGTTTGACCTTTCTTTGTAGACGTTATTCATCTTCTCAATCCTTACTTTAACTTGTTCACATGTCCTCTTAAAAACTTCAAGCCGTTTCTTAGCATCAATATGTTCAATATTATCTCGACTATAGACTAATATATCATCAAGGTAAACGACAATGAACTTATTTAAGAAGGGTCTAAGTACCTCGTTCATGAGCCTCATGAATGAACTTGGCGCATTGCATAGCCCAAAGGGCATGACCATCCATTCATATAATCCTTGCTTAGTTTTGAAAGCAGTCTTCCATTCATCTCCTTCTCTAATTCGCATTTGATGGTAGCCACTTCTAAGATCGATCTTGGAAAATATGATAGAACCATGTAACTCATCAAGCATATCTTCTAGTCGTGGCATAGGAAATCGATACTTGATAGTAATGTTGTTGACCGCTCTTGAATCAATACACATTCTCCATGTACCATCTTTCTTTGGAACTAGTAAAGCTGGAACCGCACAAGGGCTCATGCTTTCACGAACATAGCCTCTTTCAATCAATTCCTCTATTTGTCTTTGAAGCTCTTGGGAAGCCGTAGGATCGCACCTATAGGCTGGTTTATTAGGTAGAGGAGCTCCGGGAATAAGATCAATAGCATGCTCTATTCCACGCAAAGGAGGTAGACCTTTAGGAAGTTCCTCTGGGAACACATCCTTAAATTCATCTAGCAACTCTTCTATGTGCATGTTTGTTGAGGAACTTGTGGATTTCGCCTCTTTTATCACTAAGGCAAAGACCGTGGCTCCCTTTTCTACTTCACTCTCAAGTTCCTTAGCATTCAAAAAGAAATTCGGCACTTGCTTCTCTTTATCTTTGGTATGACCGTAGCTTGAATTAGGGGGTAGAGGATTGAGTTTGAACCTTTTGTTTCCTATTTTGACCGAATAAGTATTTGCCTCACCATCATGTGTAACTTGACGATCAAATTGCCAAGGTCTCCCTAAAAGAAGGTGACAAGCACTCATAGGAATAATATCACACCATAACTTTTCTTTGTATTTGCCAATGGAAAAGCTTACTAAGGCTTGTTTCTTCACATGAAGTCCCTTAGAATCATCAAGCCAACTCAACTTGTAAGGATTCTCATGTACTCTTGTTGGAAGGTTGAGCTTAGTAACCATCTCTGTGGACGCCACATTGGTACATGAACCACTATCAATGATCACCTTGCATGATCTATCTCCTACTTTGCAACGAGTATGGAATAAGTTTTCACGTTGAGATTTGTTAGGGTTTGCTTCGGCATGGAGGATCTTCCTTAACACAAGCACTTGTTCATCATCTTCGGGATCAATCTCATCGTTCTCTTCCTCACTACTTGTTGCCTTAGTTTCGGATTCCTCATCGTCACACCCAAAAACTATGTGTTTCTCTTCTTCTACTTGTTGTTCGTATTGTCTTATTGTGAGAGCTTTCTTGGAAGGACATTGATCCGACCTATGTCCCTTTCCTTGACATTTGAAACACCTAATTCGGGATTCGAACTCTTCTTTAGATATCTTAACAAATTTCTTTTCTCCACTTGTTGAGCTTTCTCCCTTAGACTCGTAGGAACTCGGTTTAAAAGGCTTGAAAGTTTTGCTTGTTTTGGTCTCTTGTGAGAACTTGGTACCAAAACTCTTTGTACTTGTGCTCTTCTTATCTTCGAGCCAATGACTTTCAATTTTTAAAGCTAGTTTGCACACATCATTGAATGACTCATAAGTACTCAATTCAATCTTCTTAGCAATAGGTCGATTAAGACCCTTAAGGAATCGAGCAATCCGCAATGGTTCTTTCTCCTCCAAATCACAAAGAGAGGTTAGTTTATCAAATTCAGCAATATATTCATTAACACTCTTAGTATCTTGTGTCAACATAGTGAGTTTCACATATAGAATTTGTTCGAAATCATGTGGAAGGTATTTAGAACGCATCTTCTTCTTCAAAACTGTCCATGTCTTGATCTTATCCTTCCCTGCTCTAGCACGTCGAGTCTTTAAATTATCGAACCAAATTCCCGCATTCTTAGTGAGTCGTATATAAGCAATTTTGAAACGTTGAGAATCATCAAAACCTTTATAATCTGAAATTTTCTCTAAGTGTCTCGCCCACTCAAGAAAATCTTCGGGGCTTCCTAGACCCGTAAAATCATCAAGCTTGATACCTTTATCATCGATCTTATTCTTATTATGAGTGTCATCATCACTACTAGAAGCATCACTATCACTATCATGCCGTTTTTTCTTCTTTTTCTTTTTATCAAGCAATAATTGTGAAAAAGCATTAAAACGTGCCTCCGTATTATCTTGCAATCTTGCAAATTCATCCATGAGTTTGCTCAAAGCTTCCTCCATAATTATAAGACAAAAAAAAGACTTAAAAGAACCCTTATCCACACAGGTATATCCCACAAAAATCGCAACACAACTTGGAACAAAATCGCACACAACGAGCAGTAAGTATTAAATCGGACCAAAACTGACACAGTTTCGGAAAACAGTCCAGTTTAATAGCAAACGAACTCGAAAAATTCCGAAATTTCACAGGCTGAAATTAGACAAAATTTCACCCAAAATCAAAAAAAGAATCACCTGAAAAGACCTTGTAACGAAGGAGAACGAGCCTTCTGAAGTTGACAGAAAAACTGGTTATCCGAGAACAAGTGCGATTTGATGAACGAATTGTTGAACGATCAAAAACCCCTGAAATCTGATACCAATTTGATGTGGATTTGAACCCCTTAACTTAATAAAGAATCTAAAATCACACAAGTAACACAAGCCCTTCGAATTTCCTAAGAAAATCGAACAACTTAAGAATAACGAACCGGATATGACTTTGAAAACGACCACTCCTGGAACGAATTCAACGCCTCTCAAATTACCTAGACCACTCCTGGAACTAAGTACTTTGATGAACAAAACTTAGACTACTCCTAGAACTAAGAATTGAACGTTCTAATTATCAAAACAACTCCTTGAATTGAAAACTAGCAAAAGAATTTGTAAGCAATTAAGCAAAACAAACAATAAACTTGTATTGAATTTTCTGGTTTTGGTTGTGTATCCAAAGCCACGAAAAATCCCTTATTTATAGACTAAACTAACTATTCCTAAGTCTATTCGAACTAGGAAAAAAAACCCTAGCCTTGATCCCCAAGTATCCTAGATAGAATAGGAAAACCAATTCTAATGGAACTAGGAAACTAGTAATAAGACTAGTTCTAATTAAACTAAAACTTCTTAAAACAATTCCTAATTGACTTAGAAATTATTTTAAACTAAAATAACAGAAATTAAGAAGATTCCTAATTGCTTAAACCAAGAAAAAACCCTTTCAAGTGAAAGGTAAAAACTTGCAAGCAAAAACTCTAGAAAAAACTAAGTTAGGAAAATCTTTCTTTTCGTACTGCCGCCGAACCACCGTCTCACGCGCTGCCATCATCGACACGCGCCCCACCAACGTGTAGCTGGACTCAGGCCGGAGCTAGGGAGCCGGCGCGTGGCACCCAGATCGGCGCGTCGCCGCCGCTGCTGTCGTTGGAACCTAACTGGTCCTTGACTTTTTCTTCAATGGCTGCGCATGTTAACCATTCTTGATTCTTTACTCCAAGCTCGAACCCTATTGGCCTTAAAACCAATATGATTGGCTCTTCAAAAGAATTTCCCTCTTGATCCACAGTAACACAAGCCCTTCGAATTTCCTAAGAAAATCGAACAACTTAAGAATAACGAACCGGATATGACTTTGAAAACGACCACTCCTGGAACGAATTCAACGCCTCTCAAATTACCTAGACCACTCCTGGAACTAAGTACTTTGATGAACAAAACTTAGACTACTCCTAGAACTAAGAATTGAACGTTCTAATTATCAAAACAACTCCTTGAATTGAAAACTAGCAAAAGAATTTGTAAGCAATTAAGCAAAACAAACAATAAACTTGTATTGAATTTTCTGGTTTTGGTTGTGTATCCAAAGCCACGAAAAATCCCTTATTTATAGACTAAACTAACTATTCCTAAGTCTATTCGAACTAGGAAAAAAAACCCTAGCCTTGATCCCCAAGTATCCTAGATAGAATAGGAAAACCAATTCTAATGGAACTAGGAAACTAGTAATAAGACTAGTTCTAATTAAACTAAAACTTCTTAAAACAATTCCTAATTGACTTAGAAATTATTTTAAACTAAAATAACAGAAATTAAGAAGATTCCTAATTGCTTAAACCAAGAAAAACCCTTTCAAGTGAAAGGTAAAAACTTGCAAGCAAAAACTCTAGAAAAAACTAAGTTAGGAAAATCTTTCTTTTCGTACTGCCGCCGAACCACCGTCTCACGCGCTGCCATCATCGACACGCGCCCCACCAACGTGTAGCTGGACTCAGGCCGGAGCTAGGGAGCCGGCGCGTGGCACCCAGATCGGCGCGTCGCCGCCGCTGCTGTCGTTGGAACCTAACTGGTCCTTGACTTTTTCTTCAATGGCTGCGCATGTTAACCATTCTTGATTCTTTACTCCAAGCTCGAACCCTATTGGCCTTAAAACCAATATGATTGGCTCTTCAAAAGAATTTCCCTCTTGATCCACAGTAACACAAGCCCTTCGAATTTCCTAAGAAAATCGAACAACTTAAGAATAACGAACCGGATATGACTTTGAAAACGACCACTCCTGGAACGAATTCAACGCCTCTCAAATTACCTAGACCACTCCTGGAACTAAGTACTTTGATGAACAAAACTTAGACTACTCCTAGAACTAAGAATTGAACGTTCTAATTATCAAAACAACTCCTTGAATTGAAAACTAGCAAAAGAATTTGTAAGCAATTAAGCAAAACAAACAATAAACTTGTATTGAATTTTCTGGTTTTGGTTGTGTATCCAAAGCCACGAAAAATCCCTTATTTATAGACTAAACTAACTATTCCTAAGTCTATTCGAACTAGGAAAAAAAACCCTAGCCTTGATCCCCAAGTATCCTAGATAGAATAGGAAAACCAATTCTAATGGAACTAGGAAACTAGTAATAAGACTAGTTCTAATTAAACTAAAACTTCTTAAAACAATTCCTAATTGACTTAGAAATTATTTTAAACTAAAATAACAGAAATTAAGAAGATTCCTAGTTGCAACCCAGTCTGGGAAGTAACATTGCCGAATGAACCCTGCATCAAGTAATTTTTTAACTTCGGCGGCTGCCGCCTGACTTCTTTCTTCGCCATGGTTCCGCTTCTTTTGCCGTACCGGCTTCTTTTTCGGATCCACAGCGAGTTTATGTACTGCCAGATCAGGACTAATGCCTGGCATTTCATGGACTTCAAATGCAAAGATGTCCTTGTATTCTTTCAATAGATTGTGAAAGTCGTCACCAAGGTTTCTCAGAGCAGTCGTCCCAACTTTGACTGTTCGGTCAGGACGTGAGTCGTCTAAGATCAGGTCCGCATGCTCACCAACCGGCTGAGGGCGGAACTCATCCGGCCGCTCCTCTGCCAATGATTGCTATTTTCTTGCTTTTCTTGCGGACTCTGTCTGGGACGCCTTTCTCTTTTTGTCGCCTGTTTCTTGAACAGGCGCACTCTCCTTGACATTGTCAAGGTCTGTTTTTTCTCCACTTGACCCAGTGGCCATAACAGTGGGCTTGACATCCGAGAGATAGCACTCTCGGGCCGTCCTCTGATCTCCCCTTAGGGAGCCGACTGTTCCATTATCCCTCTCAAACTTAAGCAGCATAAGAGACGGGATTATAACAGCCTTGGAATTATTCAGGGTTGGTCGACCCAGAATCATGTTGTAGGCCGAGAGTTCCTCTACTACTAGGAACCGGACTACCATGTGTCGTCCTTCCCCTTTTTCGCCCAGGCGAATGGGTAAATATACTCGTCCCAGTGGGTGGACGACTCCTCCTCAAAACCCTATTAAAGGGTGGGAGGACGGATGTATGCAGTCCGTCTGATATTTCAGTTTTGACAGACATTTGCTGCTGATGAGATCTGAGGAGCTCCCGGTATCTATGAGGATTCGGCCAACTCTTTGGTTGGCCACTTTACATTCAATAACGAGAGGGTCGTCATGCGGCCCCCTTACCCCTCCTAGATCCTCTTCAGTGATGACAATCTCAGGAAATGTATATTTGGACGGCCGTTCTTGGTGAACGGAATTTACATCTAACCGCCTTATATTATCTTTGTTGCCCCTAATAGTGGGGCCGCCTCCTGAGAAGCCGCCTGCAATGGTGTAGACGACTGCATCATCTGTATCGGAACTGTCGGCCTGTTGATTCTTTTTGGCCGACTGCTTTTTTGAGGAAGTGTTCCCCGTAGATTTCTTGACATATGTGTCAAGATCACCTTGCTCAGCCAAGCGGTCTAGGTACCGCATGAGACTGATGCAGTCATTGGTGTGATGACCAACGTCATCATGATAAGCACAGATTTTGTCTTGGTTCCGGTTGTTTGCAGAACCCTTCATGGGGACCGGCTTCTCAATTGAGAACCGTCCCTTTATTTCTTTTAGGATAAACTGGTTATCCTTGTTAAACACATACTTTGGGGAGTATGGTTTGAATTCTTTTTTCTTTTTCTGGGCCGGCTGTTTAGAGGAATCAACCGCCCAGACCTCTTTTCTTTTCTCATCTTTGTTAGACGACTGTTTCTGTCGTCCTTCTCTTTTGTCGAACCTTTTTCCGTCCGACTGTTTTATCGTACACAGATCAGTCGCCTGTATATAGGCTTCTGCTTCAATCAAGGCCTCTTGAAGAGTCGCCACCCTTTTTCGAACTAAATCAAATTTGAAGGTAGACCCGTCTTTGAGACCTCTAAAAAAGTCAGTATAAGCTACCTCATCCGGTAACCCTTGAATCTGTATTCTCATCAGGTTGAACCGCCTGATGTAAGAACGAAGCCCCTCCTTCTCGCCCTGCTGAATTGTTCCCAAATTAAGGGTCGTTTTCTTCGCAGGGATGTTCATGGCGAAGTTGGAGGCAAATAAGTAAGCAAGCGTCCTGAAGCTGTTTACACAACCAGTCGGCAGGTTGCCGAACCATTGCTGTGCGATTCCCTTGAGAGTCGATGGGAAACACTTGCACCAAGTGGGATCATCCAACCCTTGAAGGTACATCAGGTTGGTGAATTCCATCAGATGGTCTTCTGGATTAGTAGTGCCGTCATAGGCGCCTACTAGTACATTTTTTACTTTGGCCGGCTGAGCGGCTTCAGTAATTTCCTTGGAGAAGGCCGACGGTTGTTCACCTA